CACACACACACACACACACACACACTTCACAGGAAAGTAAGTTAGCGTTTTGATCACAACATTAGATTAGAATGTGCTGCCCCTGGATTTCTTGCTCGTTGCCCTAAGTCTCATTGCCTTAAACCACTTAAACAACCTCATTAGGGCAAAAACAACCATTCTACCTCTGCTATGGAATTCATAACTGAACCATGATAGACAACGAATCTGGACAGTGTCAATGTGATTGAAAATCAAGTAATTGGCCTGGAATACAATGTCCTACGTGTCTCTTAAAATTAGATACCTCTATCCTCCTCTCAGCAGTCCACGTCTAGCGGAGACTGCAGTGTCTAGCACAGACTAATGCTAATGTTTGTCTTCTAACAATAAAAAAAAAAAAAGAGGTAGAAAAGGGTAGGAGAGGGGAGCAAGCATTAAGAAGTACTTCAGGGCAAAACTTCATTTTGGTGGGTAATGTGAATTATTGATATAAAATAAAATTAAGGCATACAGAGAAAAAGGCACGACCAAAAATTAACAATTAAATTGCTTTTCATTAACATTTAACCAATCTTAAAATTCAAGTAAATATGAACATTACATTTGTAACAAAGATCAAACTTAATAGAAAAGAGCATGTTCTCAAGATACTGTCCTGATCTTAATGTACATAACAGAATTGGCAGAATTCAATTTCTATCAAATGTTTTAGGAGTTTTAACAATTTAAACCAAAAGAAAGTTTGTTTTTTTTCTTTAAAGAAATGAAGAAAACAACACTAAGTTGTGGAATAAATGCCCTCCCTCACTGGCGCTGTTTGAGCAGGGGCTGGTTCTGTAGGAGGGAGTCCTGAGAGAGGCTGCCTGACCTACGGAGGTCCCTCTAATGAGGAAATACTTTTTAATCCATGTTGTTAATGACATTTTAGTTTATAACAGCCAATAATTACCTAAAATTGCCTTCCCCTTATATCACAAAAAAATAGTAAGGTTTTAAAACATCGTTGCTGAACTTTAAGGGTTAGGGTATGGTTTGCCCATGTCTCCTCCTAGGCTGCGACACCCTGAAGAGTAAGTTACTCTAGCACCTGACACAATAAGCCACAATTATTGAATAAGCAAATAAAAAAAGGTTCAACCTGTTTAAAAAAATTGATATATTACTATACTTGATTGACACTAGGTGATTTTAATTCAAGCCACTGGTCCCTAGACCCCAATGAAATCAGAACTCTGCCACAGGCCACAAAGTCTGCATGGGGCAAACACTTCGGCTTTTGAACCCAAGCTTGGTCATCCCTGTAAACTGTTCGGATTTTATTTTCTTCGTGACTTCATGCATCTCATCACAGCTCCGTCTCAGAATTACTAAGGACCAGATCTGACACATGAGAGGTCAAAGAGCGGAAAGCCACTCCAAACAAGTAATCTCACTTTTTAAATAGTTCCGATTGAGACTAAGATAAAGACTCTAAAGTGAAAGTAAATTCAATTTACTCTGAAATAAGTTTTAATTTTTTCTGTAGTTCAGCCGGTGCATTCTAATCTCATCTAACTGTGTAAGGTAGACGATGCCTGTGAACACTGTCTATGGCAAAGTCTTGAACCATTTTTTTTCAAGTTGGAAACATGTTTTGTAAATGAGGAAAATTGAAAGATTTTCAAGATATTCATACTGGAAATTTCAAAGTCTGTTTACTTTTAAATACATTTTAAAGATTTACCAACCATCAGAATTTCCATTAGTCATTACATTTATAAACCCTCTTATCCAATACACTTAGTTTGCAATGCAAAAGATCTTATATTTGGCCCAAATGTAAGTCATGCCATTTTGAATCTCTCAAGGCCTAAGGAGAAAGATACTTCCTGAAAAGCACAAGTAAGACTGCTAGTGAATCTTCTCCAGCACCAAAAATCTGCCCTAGTCAAAGCAGAACGCATTGTAAAGGCACAAAGTCAGCAGTCTGGCCATTTTCCAGCCTCAGCGAAGAAACATTACAGTATAGAAGAATCAGTTGTGCATTTAAAAAACAAAAGACATTTAGAGTCATCTTAAAAAGTTCAAATTTCATTTGTTGATCCATACCATTATTGGGAAGGGGGAGATGGAGTGTTATATCTAACTGCCCCCGATAACGGTGTTTTGTTTCAAAATGTTCCTTTTTGAATTTACTTTTGGTCTTCCAAACCCCATCCCACTTCAAGCTTTTTTGTTCTAGTAGCTCATATATATATATACACACACATATATATATATATATACTTCTCTTGTGGTTTTGGTACCTTTACAACTTGTTTAAAATAAATTCACATCCCATTTTATATAATAACTCTGTAAACGATTATCTATGTTTAAGTCTTTACATAAAGAACAGTATTTTCCCATAGCTAATAATATTTTCCCTATAAAACAAAGGTCTTCTGCAGCAGTGTTAAAGGAGCAGTTTCTTTGCAGGTGATTTATTTTTGATAGCATTTAAAAATAAGAGACTGGAAAAAGCAAACCACCTTGCTCTGGGTTTCGGTCTCTCAAGGTCTCTCCTTAGAGCGTCTGTCCGTCTTCTGCACTGCTGGTCACCCTGACAGACCCGAACGGGCCAGGAGGAAATCACACCTGCACAAGACAAAGAAACCAAGGAAACGCCCATTGGTCCAGACACCCGATCTTGCTCAAGTACAGGAGATGCTCTCCCTCATAAAAGATAAGCAACACAGCAGACGGTATCCGTGGGGGCCGAGTTCACAGCGCAGGTCCCACCATGACTTGGCAGGCGGGGGGCGAAGGCATACTCTTCCTGCTGCGCGCTCCCTCCGATGGAGAGGGTGTGGGAGCTTTGTGCTTTGCCTTCTCAGACTAGCTGGTGGAATTTCAAACTTCCTACTAGGTCTAACTTCTGAACAGTTGAGTCCCTAACAATTATACTTTTTAGCAGAGGGTGAAACACCGAAGTCCCCTATGCGTCCCACAAAAGGCATCATTGGGGTTCCGGGAAGACTACTATTTCTAGATCTTTCAACAGAACGTACTTAGCACTTGCTTTAATATACTGAGCAACACTGTCAAGTAGCCGCATCTCTGATTCCATCCATATTTTCAGCAGCCGAGTCCATCAGAGATAGTGGGATGCTCCTAGCTGTCTCCTTCCATTCAACGTCCGTGCTGGGTGGATAATTATACTAGAAATACCTGGCAGTTTTTACCTTCCTACAAAGTAGCTAATACTTGTGTTGATAAGCTCTTCTTTCCCCCAACCGTACATGAGTGAGGCAAGAGTACGCACAGACAGTGAGTTCAGTGAGCTGTTTGAACGCACTCTGTCTACGGGCTGCTGACTGGGGCAGCGCGCACGGGAGGGCCGGGCTGCTGCTGCCCAGCTCGCCCAGCGCCAGGCCAAGTGGCGGGTCCGCTCCGGTCCAACGCACACTGCACAAATCCCTTTCTCTGAATTCCCTTCATGCGGAACCTGCTTAGTAAGTGGTGGCTGTCAGCACGTGACAGGCTGATCTCCACAAGCTTCTTAACTCCGGCACTTTTGACACTTGGAGCAGGCGCTTCTTCGTGGAGGGAGAGAGGTGCTGTCCTGTGCTCTGCAGTTTGTAAGCAGCAGCCCCGGCCTCCGCTCACTGGGAGCCACCAGTGTCCTCCTGAGTGGGGACGGCCAACACTGTCTCCAGGCCCTGCCACACGTGGGGGAAGTCAGCCCCGTCTACCCTTGAAACCCATGGTCTGAATGGGGTTTGTCAGGTGTTTTGGTGTCTGTGATCCCAAGAACAAGGGTTTTATCTCATGACACTCCAGGTTAAACTCTTAGTTCCTAAGAAATGTTACCCATAGGGAACCGGGAGCTAGAAACAGGAAGATACAATACACATTGTTGTGAATATTTCTTCTTTCTCTTAATTTTGGGACTTTCTCCCTCAGGTAAAGAACAGTTTAAAATACACTAAAAAACACTTGGTTCTGCGTTTCATCATTTCTGCTGTTTGGCAAACGTGGTCTCTCCTGCTGCTTACACCTTAGTTAAAGCAACCTCCTTTTGTCTTTTAATTTGGATTTGCTCATTGACTTCCCATACTGCTTTAAAATAAAATAGTCTCTCTCTCTTTTTTTTTTTTAAACAGAAAGCTATCCCACAAGGTTCACAGATTCCAGTCACATGGATCTTTTGTGGTGTGTTTGCTTATTGTACTGGTTAGGATGAACAAATAAATACACCTCTTTGAAATTCATAGTTTCTATCAAGATTCCTACTGAGCAAAAAGCTTGGTACATAGAGGTAAGGATCTGAAGAACACAGAGATAAGAGGGAACCTATCTTCCTTAAGTTGAGTACCCACTCTAAACTCAAGTTTAGGGCTTAAACCCACACATGAGAATCTATTTTAAATACTATCATTAAAAACCACAAATTATACATTATTTTCTTCTCCTTGTTTTCCATGTCTCCCATCACCACCAATTGTCAGTGACCCAAAGAAAGACTCTATAATCTTTAGGTATCCGAAATGATTTGTTTGCACTAGAAAGAGTGACCATGTACTAAAGTGCTTTATATCTCTGAACCACATCAGTACATTATAAAAAAATTTTTTTAAAAAGTTTCAAGTTTTTGTAAGGGAAAAAGATTAAATATAAAAAATTTAGGTTCCTATTATTAAACAAATTTAACCAAGAATCAAGAGAAACATTTCCCTCTTGTCTTTTTCCTTCCCCCACCTCTGTTGTGTAAAAAACGAAAGTGCAGTCAGAGCAGCGGCCGGCAGGGGCCCAGCCCGGCTAGTGGCAGTGCACGGACACGTGCCGCAGGAGCTCGTGGGCAGGGGACCAGCCTGGCTAGTGGCAGTGCACGGACACGTGCCACGGGAGCTCGTGGGCGGGGGCCCAGCCTGGCTAGTGGCAGTGCACGGACACGTGCCGCAGGAGCTCGTGGGCAGGGGACCAGCCTGGCTAGTGGCAGTGCACGGACACGTGCCGCAGGAGCTCGTGGGCAGGGGCCCAGCCCGGCTAGTGGCAGTGCACGGACACGTGCCACGGGAGCTCGTGGGCGGGGGCCCAGCCTGGCTAGTGGCAGTGCACAAACATGTGCCGCAGGAGCTCATCGGCCGCGGGCCTGAGCTTAGCCTCCGTAAAGATGCGCTTGAGGAAATCGCGGGTGTAGTCAGAGACATGGGGCGGCAGCTTTGGGTTCGTGGGCTGCGTGGCAATCTTAAAGATGGCAGCCATGGCCTCATACTCCGCCCACGGGGGCTTTTCCGTCAGCATCTCCACCACCGTGCAGCCCACGCTCCTGGAACACAAACAACATCAGCATGAATGAAAGTCGGCTGCACACTGTGACAGAGTGAGGTCCATGTACACTCAAGTGTGACTTGACTTCAAATTAGTTTCTTAAAAGATTGTAACTATGTATCATGTAATTTAAACATGAAAATAAAGCACAATTTAAGGACTGACTCAAATAGTTAAGCAAAAAGCATTACTCATTTTATAACTTTTGCTTTATATAATTACATAACCTAACATTAAATACCATTTTTGTCTTTATCTTACAAATATTAAAAATTCCTTGTCTGCCTTTAGGGCACCCAAAATGAGTATCCATTCAACACTTTTCTGAGGGGAAGTAGAAAATGGCCATTGTATGTTCTAGCTTAAAATTATTAAGCCATTAAAGAATAACTGAATGATAAGAGACTAACAGTAAAAATTAATTACTTTTAAAGTTCTTCAGGGAGATGAGAGAGATGAGAAACAGTTTTCTGATGCTGAAGTTGCTTAAGATATCAACCTTCCTAAAGAACGAAGCACGGGTTCAAGAACTCTATTTATAAATGTCAGTGATTAGGTCTCAAAGGGGCATGATTGAAACAGAGGTCAGCACAACCCTGACAGCTGGCTCACGGGCTCCATCCCAGCCAGCCAGGCCGCACCTACCAGACGTCAGCCTTCCGGCCGTAGCCCTCCCCGCTGATCACCTCTGGGCTCATCCAGTATGGGGTGCCCGTGACCGACTTCATGCCTGTCCCTGACAGGCAGATGGTCTGAAGCCGTTTGCTGGCCCCGAAATCTCCGAGTTTGACGTTGCCTGTTGAATCCCGCAGAATATTCGCACCTAGAAGAAGACCACGCTCATTATTTCATCGCTGTTACGGGCAGTTCAGGACGGAATCTGAGTGCAGGCGAGATCGCACTCGGCCGCTCTTCAGCCTGTCTCTGGGTGCTCAGCACAAACACAGACTTAAAGCGAGGGGTCCCCCCACTGAGAGCCTGAGGCCAGGAGGATGAAGGGGGGCGGGGAGGTGGAGAAGCGGGGTGGGACAAGATGGGGCCTCGAAGCACAGCAGGCTCTGGGGCCTGTCACAGAGCACAGGCTCAGGGCTGAGCTTCTCCCCACGCAGGGATGACTTGGGGCACTCTCTACCAACACTTCTAGCACTTTTCCCTGCTGTAACTTAACTAAATATTGGGTTTTGCTTTATATTAATTTCACTTCCCAATTCCTATATATTTTAAATCTCTTCTAAGCAAGCTTTGAGTTTTCTGTTTGAAAATGTCATTTACTTTTGTAATACACTTAATTTGTTATAAACTGACTCTGATTGCCTGGCGAGATAATTTGTTGAATTCTCCACTATCAAGTGCGTCCTCTCCCAACTGTCCTCTGCAAGGGGCCCCCCATGTGCAGTCCACAGTGAGAGTCTGGGGTTGTGCCCCAGGCTGTGTAGATAAATAAATTACTGGGAATTATTCTGCACAGGAGATATCTCCTCTCCCCCATTTATTTATTTTGTACCAGTATGAACACATGAATATTTATTTTATACTTTGGGTTAAAACCACCGTGACTTTTTCTGCTCATACTGTTCCAGGTCTGGCCATTGAGATGCTTCCCCTCGGACCCTGCATCCTGGGCCACCCTCCGTCGCTGTGCTCTTGTCTGCTTCTGTCTGGGGATAGTTTCAGTACCTTCTTATTCTCAGGCACTGGCAGGTGCTCCAGGCCTCACCTGCAGATTCCCGCCCCAGGCCTAGGCTCAGCCGTCTGTCCAAGGGCCCCAGTTACTTTCCATGGTATCAGAAACCAAGATCCAGGTGCTAAGTTCATTTATTTTTTATTCTCTATTTTTCCCCTTTATCATTTTGAAGTATTTTTTTTTCTAGGATTATAAGTCTTGTTTCTGTCTTATATAAATTACTTCAAGTCTCACTTTTAGCTTTTTCTATAAACTACCTATTTTTAAATAATTCATTTTAACTTACCTAATTTTTAAACTTTACTTCATTATTTTTTAACATTTTATATTTACTTTAAGAGAGAGAGGATGGGTGAGGGAGAAAGAAAACATCGATGTGAAAGCAGAACATGGATTGGCTGCCTCCTACACACCCCCTACCAGGGAACAAGCCTACAACCTGGGCATGTGCTCTGACTAAAATCGAACCAACAATCCTTTGGTGCACAGGACGACGCCCAACCAACTGAATCACAGAGGCCAGGGCTACTACTTTTATTATTTTTAGGTCTCCTACAACCTCAACCATATTTTTTTAAAGGGGGTAGAAATGATGAAAGGTCTTTTAAATATTTTTTAATTGATTTTAGAGAAAGAGAAACATTAATCGGGTGCCTCCCATATGAATCGAACTCACAACCTGGGTATGTGCCCTGACCCAGAATCAAACCAGCGACCTATCAGTGCATAGGATGGCACTCAACCAACTGAGCCACACTGGCCAGGGCTTAGTCATCTTTTGTATTTTTTAAAATCCTTATTTTCTTTTTTTTTTTTCCCCAATGGCCTCTAAGAAGAGTCAATCGTGCAGAAGAGCTACATTCCAGATGGGAGAGTGCATATACGGCCACCCCTACCCCCACCCCGGGGTGAGCTTCCCTTGCCCTTTCGGTTCTCCCAGCACTCTCAGCCTAGTGGCTGATGGCTCTCCGCAGCCTCTCTGCAGGGCACAGGGTGCTCTCTGCAGCCACGAGCCCCAAGGAGACACATCCCAGGGACCCCGGAGAATAGCACTGCCTGCCCTGTCTCACGTCTCACTGCCGTCCCATAAAGAGGACTCTGCCAAGAAAAGCCACGCTCTCTAAAGTATGTAACCAGGGAAAGGAGAACAAACAAGCCAGGCTGTTCTGGCTACAAGCTGGGAAGGAACAGTCCCAGGCAGGTCACAGACAGGGAGAGCTATCTCTGGGGAGTAATCACCGATGCTGAACCAATGCCCATTCATACGAAGGACCATGTAGAAAATGTGTAATCAGGTTCCCAGTATCGTCTCCTAAGTTCTCAAACTTACTTTGAATACCTTAAAAGCAAACTAGTGAAGAGATTTTTCAAACATACACAAAAGCAGGTAGAATAGTATGTACCCATCCCCAGCCCCGACAGTCACCTGGAAATCTTCCCTGACCATGGTGCCAGCCACTCTTCCCCTTTCATTATTTGATCAATGACATCATGATCAATAGTTCAGTACATAGCTTTATAAGATAATATCTATTACACCTAATAGGATGGAAAATAACTCCTTATAATGTTAAATATATACTCAGTGGGGTTTTTTGTTTTTTAAAAATCACATGCAAATAAGTTCCATACACTGAGACTCAATCACACACCCTTTAAGTCTTTCCTGATCTCAAGTTCCCTCGCATCTAAGTCATTTGCCTACAGTTTCCTCCCATCCAGGTTCTGTGACTCCATCCCAAGGGGCTGTATTAACATGCTCGTCTCTCTGACACTTATGTTCTATGATTCTAAAATGTGGTAGCTGAATCTAGAAGCCTGATCAGGCTCAGATTACTCTTCTTCTTTTTTTTGCAAAACTACTTCATAGATATGATGATGTGTAAAGATAGGAAGCGTTTCATGCTCAGCTGTCTGTGTCGATGTCAACACCTGTGAACGTTCAATGCTGACACCTGCTACCTCATTAGTGGCTGTAAAATGGCACTCTCCCATCGTTCTTCATTGGTGAGTCAAAATACTAGTATGAAGATAAGTTTCCTTTCATCCACTATGTGATAAAAGAAAGGCAGAATAAAGGAATCCTGTTATGAAATAATGAGTTGATTCCTTAGCAACAATGACCAGTTAGTTTTTATCCTAAGTTTCATTATGAACTCATAGTTTAAACTTAAACGTCATCAACTGTCTTTCTTTTTCCCTCACAATTTAAAAATTTCTCATGTGCGAAATATACGGTGTGGCTCAGTGGTTGAGCGTGGACCCTGCACCAAGAGGTCACCGGTTCGATTCCCAGTCAGGGAACACGCCCAGGTTGTGGACCTGATCCCCAGTGGGGGGCATGCAGGAGGCAGCCAATTGATGTCCCCTCTCATTGATGTTTCTATCTCTCTCCCCCTCTCCCTCCCTGTCTCTCTAAAATCAATAAAGGGGGGGGGGTGTAAAAACTATGCCCAAGAAAACTATGATCACTCATCCTGCCATTTGGAAATAACCACTGTTAATCATATGAAAACTTTTCTTCTAGGTCATACTTTAATTTTACAAACTTGTGATCACATTGCATATCTAATTTTGTATCTTACTTTTCTCCTATCAATATATCTGCCCTATAATACTTTCAAGTCAGCTCGTCTCCAACTCCTCATTGGACCATCTGGCAAGGTCCTCGTGGGGTAGCTCCCCTTGGTTCCTTCACTGTGTCTCACTGCGAGTGTGAAGGAGAGACTGACTGGGAGTCAGATTGTTTCTAATAGAGTAATTCACATGGAATCATTCACAATCGAATTATTTCCCTACGTAGTTCTCAAAGCAGCCTTTATACTTAACAGCTGAGGTCTGCCTAGGCTGAGCAGATCCAGGACCGGAAGGCACCATCTCTCTTAGATCATGAGCCATGTCCTCATTCTCTGAGACTCACCAGTGAGCACCACTCTGGCACACACGAGCTGGCCCTGCACTCTGCACGGAACCTACTGTCACTGGACACTGTGAGGAATGTTCTCTTTGGCCTGGACATGGCCATGTTCAGGATGTGGCTCACCACAGGAAGGCAGTAAATACCCGGTCGCTCATAAGGGCCCTCAGAACACCAACAAAAAAATGTATTTTTTATTTATTATTTATGTGTGTGTATTTATTAATGTTACCGGTTGAGTGAATAGTCATCTTTTAATTTGGGGTCACAACCCAATTTTTGGAGACCCAAACTTGTTTTTATAGACCCAAGCCTCCAGTATGCCCTGCAGTGAGGAACTTTAGGCACCCCCAAATCCTGCACATCACCACTCCCTTTCGCCTCACTTCATGCATATACCTTACACACCTGGTCCCTGAAAACAAGCTGAGTTTTAAAAAGGAGGCTTAACTGAGTTGAAATTCACCAAAGCTCAGTCTTAGGCTCTCTCCTCCCCTCCTCTTCTCTCCCTAGGTAGTAACACCCATTCATCAAATATAATCTTAATGTAGAGTACATTGTCAGCAGAGCTACCTGAATGCTTTCTAGATACCAGACACTATTTTAAGCATATGATATGGATAACTACTGCAATCCTTACAAGAATCTAATGAGTTGGACATGATCACCACCCTCGGCAAGTACGAGGAACTGAGGCACAGAGGAACAACGGACACAGCCAGAACGTGAGGCAGCTGTGCGTGCAGAGCCCCTCACCTGTGCTGCTGAACACCTATGCTCTGTGCATGGACACGTGCTTTTGTCTTCACGATCACCTGGACTTGACAGATACTGGGAGCCCCCAGGGAGCTGCCCACTGTGGAGAACTGAACATCAGCACTGGCAGGAGCACTGGCTGAGTCCAGGAGAAAGCAGACTGTTGTCCTGTGGTGTTTTAAAGGCAGGTGTATCCATTTACATGTCAAACTTCTTAACCATACTGCTTGTCATTCACATTCACACACGTGCAAACTGCACTTAAAGATAAACACCTCATCCCTTACCTTTGATGTCTCTATGAACAATCATATTGCTGTGCAAATAGTGGACACCCTCCAGAATCTGACGGGTGTATTTCCTGGTCACATTTTCAGTCAGAGCTCCATATGCTTTTAATTGGTCCTTAATTGAACCCTGAAAGAAAACAACAGAAAACTATGACATGGTTGGAAATGAAAACCACTATGTTAAATCTTTAATTTTTAAAAGAATCCGCGTGTATCCCAGGAGGCTCAGCTGGAGAGCAGGAGATGCTCAGGAAGAGCAGTTGCACCTAACCTACACAGCTCTGCGTCCTCCGTCTAGAGCGGGAAGTATGGGGCGCAGCTACAGGAAGCCTCTGAAACAGCTCCTGACCCTCGTCTCTATGGCTATGTTGGTTCTAAATTGTCTCCTATTCCTCACGACTATGTTTTTAAAAATTCTCCAGAACTTTATATTGCTTTTTTGCCCAGAATATATTTTTGTTTTTCCTACTTGCTCTTCTACATATGTCCTACCTAACTATATTTTCTTCCTGTTTCACTGATATCTGGTCATTTACTTGTCAGGAGAAAGAAGGGCAGGGTCAGAAAGCCAGACCGCATGAGGCTTTTAGGGTTTTCCTTCACAGACTCGACATCCTACTTAGAACAGGAGAAATGAGTTACAGAGGCACCTCCCATTTCCTGGGTGTTCTGACGGCACGACAAGGCGCCACCTCTGAGAACACCGAGTCAGTCTGAGGCGAGACACAGACACCCGAATTTCACAGAAGTTCCCCTACTAATTCCAATGTGCAAATCTGATGAATAATAAACCACTTTATTTCTTAAATATGTTTTTATTGCCTTTTTAGAGAGAGAAAAGGAAGAGAGAGAGAAACACCAATTAGCTGCCCCCTGCATGCCCCCACTGGAAATTGAGCCCACAACCCCAGGCATGTACCCTCACCAGGAATTGAACCAGGACCTCTCAGTCCATAGAGCCACACCATATAGTATACAAAAATAGCTGGGCTGATAAACCACTTTAAAAGATGGAAATGAAATGCTTCCTGGGGGACAAATCTTTTCTTTTAAACAAAGAATATATTCAAATGTTTCTGCCTTTCCTTGAATTTTGGTAAACTATACTTTGTCAAATACAAGTAGATCCTTGGATTTTACAGGTGGAACTGTTTGTTGCTTCCACTATTCATGAGCAATCCCTGAGGGACAGAAAGATGATGTCTGCTAGCCTAAACTTGCAAACACTCATTAAAAGCCTCAGGCAGTGAGTGACCGCTGCCCGCTCACACCTACCATTCCCTATGGCTAGTTCCCTCAGGCCTCTACCCGCAGTGACTCACTGCACAGCCTGGCAAGAGCTGAGCCCTCCAAACAATAAGTCCCCAGTGCTCAGAGGCTGCGAGTGACGGACGGGAGGACCCTCTGACCCCAGGCAGCCGGGCCAGCACCGAGGGTCCTCCTGCCAATGTGCACCTTAGACATACTTTCTACAGTGCGAATCCGTGGAATGGGAGGGGAGCACTGTGCCAGCTAAACACTGTGTGTGTAAAAGGAACAGATAAATCAGCGGCTGGCCGGGTACTGAAAATAGAAGGAAGTTCCAATTCCAGTCTGAACTTCGCTCCAGATAAATGGAAGATGGAATGCTGTGCTGAGAAGCTGAGCTGCAGCACCACAGTTGGGCCACTGTGGAGGCCGGTGTACCGCATTCACTGAGAGGGATGCACAGCCTCATTAGCAGGACAGGTGGGGAAGTCTAGGAACATGTATGTCCCACCCATACATGCCATGGGCTTATTACGATTTGCACAATTCATTTAGATCGTCAACAAACTGTAACTAATTGGTAACGAGCTTTTCAAAAAAGATAGCTGCTTCTACAAAATCAAGTGTAGCTAATCAGAAACATGATCTAACACCTCTTCCTGAATAGCCCTGGTTTAGTCCTAAGACTGCTAACTAGATAAAGATTACCCATCTCCACTTGAGACATAAATCAGTTTTAACCAATTAACCATTTTAATTAATCTTATCTTCAACAATCTGGGTCCCTATTCATAATTTTCTCTTAATGTAAATACGTACTGCACAAACAGTAATGAAAACTGAAGGAAAAAAATCATAATCTCAATATATTTTAATTTTTCTTCATTTCTTCTGTCCTTGTCCAAAAACAGATATTTTTTAAATATCATAATCACTATTAAAAAGCATTTTATATTTTTCCCTCTCTTATGTAAGTACTTCCTCCAACTTTGCTAGTCTTTACAGTATTAATTTTTTTTTTCTTTATTGATTTTAGAGAGAGAGAAAGGGAGAGGGAAAGATAGAAACATCAATGAGAGAGAACATCGACTGGCCGCCTCCTGTGGGCTGGGGATCGAGCCCACAACCTGGGCATGTGCCCTGACCGGGAATTGAATTGGCGAGCTCTTGGTGCACAGGTCGGTTGGTGTTCAACCACTGAGCCACACCGGCCAGGCCACAATTTTAATTTTTAACATACATTCTCTTGGACAATGTCATCATAACTTATTTCCACCATGGGCAATGAATATCCTTTTTCTTTTCCAATCACAGATAATACTAAAATAAATAAAATAAATGTATGCAGCTTTTTCCTTCTTTTGGATTACTTCTGTAGAATAAATTTCTATGTGATTACCAGATCAAAAGGTTTCAATATTCTCATGGCCTGTAACACCAATTTGTTTTCCAAATGAGGACTTGAAAACAAATATTTTATATCACCAACAGAATATCTGAAAATAAAGCATAGCAATAATGAGTAGTAATGGCATCGCTACAGACAATAATTCATGACGACAGAAATGACGGAAGCTCACTGCTGCTCATGGAGACTGTGCGTGGTGAGTACCATCACACCAGATGCCAGGCCCGTTGTACACTCTACAGGCTCACCTGCAAGTCTGCACATGCTACGTAGAATTCTAACAAGCTATTTCCTTGAAGACTGTACAGCAAACCTCTTTTCTATCATATACTGCCTATTACGTCATGAGAACGCATGCATTTTCAAATGAGTAGATATACCGCCATCGTGAAAATCATCAGTATTAGAACATACCCTACATGTTATAAAAACAACAGAAGGAATGACAGAGATTGCCAGTCACATTCTGTAGCTCCTGACGGAATTCCTGACCGAGACAGTGACCACCCATCTGTGTAAAGACATTGCGGTGGCCAAAAGGAAGGGAGTGTGTGCATTGCTCCAGCTAAGTGCTACTTTCTGGTCTTCAGGAAAAAACAAAGCTTGACAATGGAAGAATCAGGGTGTGAAGCACCCTGAACTAGCTGTCAATCTCAGCATCACTAACGATGGAATAACCAAACACTATGTATCTCTTAAAGGGATGCAACATAAAATCCACAACATTGTCTGTGATGTATTCTAATAAAAATGTTGAATTTGAATCTAATTTACACTTTAGATCTAACTTGGAGTCTACAGAAAATAAGGGGATAAAGAAACAAATCAGTCCAGCCGGCATGGCTCAGTGGATGGAGCGTGGTCCCATGGACGGAGAGGTCCCAGTTCGATTCCTGGTCAGGGCACATGCCAGGGTTGCAGGCTTGATCCCTTAGTGGGGGGCGTGCAGGAGGCAGCCGATCCATGTTTCACTCTCTCTCTCCCTTCCTCTCTCACTAAAAAACATATTTTTAAAAAAGAAACAAATTATACAATGCCATGAGATGAGACCGTCAACAGAACAACAGCCTGGTCTACCTGCCAGGTCTGTGTCATGAAGGCTGCTCTAGATTAAAGTAGGAGGAGGGGCATAGAACCCCAGGTGCCGTGTGGGCCTGACTGGGTCCTAGTTGGACACAGCGGCGACGACGACACTTCCGGGGCTCCCAGAGAAATCTGTTAGGACTGCTGTGACGTTTGCAACCTATGTTAGTGTATGTCAGCATTTTTAAAAATGAAAAAAGACAAAGATAGATGAAGAAGATATAAAAAATAAAATTGTATTACTGATTTAGAACTCCTCCAAAATGTCATTAACTAGGTATAACTTTTTATAATCAAAGTTTTACTGTTTGTCGTTCCTCAACTCAGTTTTTAAATAAAGCATGTCTGTTTTCAAAGGACACACTACTTACCCCCGGCATGTACTCCATAAATATGGAGAGGGCTTTCTCCTGGGGGTCCCTCAGGCAGCCGTAGTACTGAACAATGCGTTCATGCAGTAAGTTTTTCAACAACTGAATTTCACACTCAAGTGCATTTACTTCCTGAAAGACAGAACTCACTGTTAACCTGTCCAGCATTGTCCGTAAAAGTAGAGGTTCTAATTTCATTGACCATCAAGGTGACTTAATTCTGAAATTTTTACTTCCTAAGGAATAAACATTTAAAGTCCCTTAACAATAACCTTCGTTACAGTCCTTGAAGGTATACCAATGCAACACTAAGTCAGATTATGAATGTGATTGAGCATCATAAGAGAAAAATTCACAGTACAAAGATAAACATATCTGTTTTGCAAATAATTTCTAATAAGGAAAAATAGAAATTCCAGTGTGCTATATTTATTTTACTTGAAATGCTTGTTTCCAGGGTGCAGAGATCCTCACCTTACTGGTCTCAGGCCGGTCAGGGTCAAACTGAACCTGCTTCACGGCCAGCTCTCTTCCCGTGTCAACGTCGTAGCAGAGGTAGACCCTGCCAAAGGCGCCCTGGCCAAGCAGCTTGCCCAACCTCCAGTTTGTGGGAGCACGAGGTGCTAAAAAAGAACACTTCCTTAAAATGGGATCACAGACAGCACAAGACGGTTCAAGACTAGATGAGCATATATATTAGTAATATTCTTAACTGAGTATGTCTGAGTGAAAGGGAAAATCATAATCATCCGAGTTTATAATGATCATCTTTTCTTTTTAAACATTTTTTAAATGATATTGAGAGAGAGAGAGAGAGAGAGAGAAACATTGTTGATAGAGATAAACACTGACTGGCTGCCTCCTGCATGCCCCCCACTGGGGATCGTGCCTGCAACCTGGGCCTGTGCCCTGACCAGGAGTGAAACCAGCGACCTCTCTGTGCATGGGACATCGCTCAGCAAACTGAGCCACATTGGCCAGGGCATGATCATCATCTTCGAAAATTTTTCTCTTCAGTCAATTTTTAAGAATTCTAAACCCAAACAAGGTTCATAATCCCGTAACTCGTTTTCTCCAATGAGATTATTCTTTTTCTTGGTTATAAATGTAACAGTCCTGTTCACTCAATCTAGGATGCCACTGGCTGTGAGACACCCTGTTTCTCATCTTCACTGCAGCAATATTCGTAGTTTTCCATCTGCCTATGATGCAGGAAGCTGGAAGAGCACCACTCTAATCTAATGGAACAAAGTTCTGAAAACAGCCAGAGGGAGAAGCAGACTATAGGGACAGAAACAAAGATACAAAGTACAGAACACTTCTCAGTATAAAAGCCAAAAAAACAATAGAGAAATAGTTTTCAAGTGCTGGAAGAAGAAAAAAAAAATCTGCCCAGAATTCTACACTGGAAAATAAAATCTCCCAAAAATAAAGGAGAAATAAAGACCTTTTTCACACAAACAAAAGCTGAAAGCATTTATTACCAGCAGACTTGTATTACAAAGAAGGCCAAAGTAATGATTCAGGCACAAGAAATGGGACACCTGACAGAACCACGGGTCTACAGAAAGAGCTAGAGAAATAAAATGAGAGTCTATATAAAAGGCATGCTCTTGCCCTGGCCGGTTTGGCTCAGCGATTAGAGCGTGGGCCCACAAACCAGAGAGGTCGGGTTCGGTTCCCACTACGGGCATGTACCTGGGTTGTGGTTTGTCCCCGGCCCCGGCTGAGGTCATGTGGGTGGCGGCCAGTCGACGTGTCTCTCTCATGCCAATGTTTCTCTCTCTCACTCTCCCTCCCACTCTACCTGAAGATAAATGCAAAAATGTCCTCAGGTAAGGATAAAAAAAATAATTATAAATAAATAAAAGACAGCTGTCTAAGCAAGAACAACAGTAGTCAGTGTGAGGGCCGAGATGCAAAGTGAGACACGAAGGCGCTGGCCCGAGCAGGACTCAGTACACAGGTGTCACCGCCCTCTGTGCTCAGATCTCTGGACGCGCTGCTTAGTGACAAAGTCCAAGCACTTCCCAGTCTGGCCTTAGTTACCATTCCAGTCCTGTTCCTACTCTTCCAAGTAAGATATCCTCCATTTCAGGTTAAAATAAACTACTCTTGACCTGCAAAACATGCCATGGCCTCTTGCACATGCCACCTCCACAGCTGGGAACCCTCCTGGCATCTGAGATCTCGTTCACACACTCCCACACAGCACTCTCCCTACAAACTGCACCTCCGAGGGTGTGTCTGAAAACCCAGTGCAGCCCTGGCCGGTTTGGCTCAGCGGTTAGAGCGTCAGCCTGTGGTCCAGAGAGACTCGGGTTCAGTTCACGCTAAGGGCACATACCTCAGTTGCAGTTTGTTTCCAGCCCTGGTTGGTCATGTGGGTGGCAACCACTCGATGTGTCCCTTTCACACGGTGATGTTTCTCTCTCTCTCTTCCCCTCTCCCTCCCTCCCATTCTATCTGAACAAAAAATGGAAAAATGTCCTCGGGTGGGGATTAAAAAATAAATAAATAAATAAAATACAGTTTAAAAAAGAAAGAAATCCCAGTGCAGGAACCCAAAAGAGAAATGTGAGGTGAACAAATGGAGGACCGATCGGTGACAATCTTCCCAATGACAGAGGACAGAATCATCTGAAGTCATTCAGCAGAGATACCATGCTGACACCTGACATTCCCATCACCTTTAGAAGAACCACTTTTCTCTCTTTTGAGAAGTTGGTCTCCCTCTAAGGACTGTTTTGGTATTTATTCCTTTTAATACATAAAACTCTGCAAAGGCTGTTACACATCTCACGATGCCACTTTCTACCACTTACATCGGCTGGGCGGGCTGACATCCATCACGGTCAGCGTGGGGTTCTCAATGTCACTCCCCCGCCTCCTTGCTCGACCGTCATCATGCTCCGGGGTGAAGATGCTGCTGCCACTGCTGGTGCTCAGGGAGTGGTCTGTGGGGCTGAAGCTCACCGGGGACCGGAAGCTGGTCCCCTGGGTCCTCCGAGCTCTAGGGAAAGTTTTACGACCTACAGAACAAAAATATAATCACCTTAAAACTTGTATTAATTTGTCACTGAATGTTTTTAAATTTTGTAATGTAAGGAACAGAAATCTATCTTGAGACTAAGCTAAGAAACTGAAATAGCAATGATTATTTGATGATGTTTTAAACCTAAAATTAGTATTTTTAAAGAGCTCCCTATTAACAAGGAAAAATCTTTGTTAATAGTAAATCATAAAGTCAACAATGAAAATCCAAGAAAAATAAATGAAAAGTAGGGACAAACAAACCGGATCTGAATACAAATTAAAATAATCTCTTATGTTAACACATATATACACACATTCATAAAATCAAGGAAGAGAACTCCTTCACTTTAGGATAAAAAGTAGAAAAAAATTAGTCTCATTTCTAACCATAATTTAAAATATAAATCAAAATTGGAAAGTTTATAGGTAGAAATATTTTTTTTCCTTAAAAGGGCCATGCAAGTACGAATTTTATAAAGGAGTAACTTCTAAATATCATTTTTAATTGTCCTTATTCTTCTAAGGGAAAGATAAATACTATGAGGTAAGTTTGCATAAAGCTAAGATGTTATAGTTTTGGTTATGACCCAATTTTTTAAAAAAAATTTAGGCAGGAAACAATGTCTAAGAAACAAGTCTGTTTATTTATTTTTGGGTACGTGCCCCTAGCGGGAACCGAATCTAGGACTCTCTGGTCCGCAGGCCGACGCTCCAAACACTGAGCCAAACCGGCCAGGGCAAAACAAGTTTATTTTTAACAGTATAACTTAAATATTTTTTTTATATTTATTATTTTTGAGAAGTTTCACAAACTGTTCTTGTGGTCCAACTGCCAGCAACTTACCATCATTATAGTCTTGATGGTGATATGAGACATGGTACCTCCGTGGGTATGTTCCCCCCTTTCCAAATTTCTCAAAGATAGGGTTCTCATAGTCTAGTAGAACACACAAGAAACTTCAGTTATTAAAAAGCCAAATATTTCTTTCAAATAATGAAAAACACACTTACACATTTTTATTTGACTTAGAAAAACATCCCCCTCTCCCTCCCAGCTAAAACATTCTTCAATGACATAGCATTAAACATTCAGAACGCAGATCGTCTGACCTGAAAGTTCCTGATGATTATCTGGGTAGCTCTGTGCCCTAGGCATTCGTGACTTGGGATAGCTCTCTCTAAAAGTAGAAAATGTCACATTAAATTAAAGAATGTAAATAAGACATTAGAAAACTTCACGCGATGCTGATGTCTGTGTGTATGTGTGGAGACCATATGTATACATAAAGGAGCTCACTGTAAAACGTTAGCATCACTGAAAGAAGAAATTTCTTCTGAAACTCGTCTTTGGTGCACACAGGCAAAGCGCTGGCCTTTACAATGAGCCCGAAGAGCACAGTGGTACGCATGGCAGGCTTTGGAATTACAGGTGCTGGGAATTCCTGTTTTAATCCTAGCTCTGCCACTGAACTAGCGGTTGTAGCGGGGAATGACCTTCCTGAGACTGTTTCCACATCTATAAAGAGGAGATGATTTCTAACTCATCATGTGTGTATGTGTGTGTATTTCACATTACTATTTCCCTGAATTTCTTAAATGTTTCAAATGGTTATCTTGATGTGGAGGCAAAAACAAAGGCTTCCTGTACACAGGTAACAGAAAATCAAATGTACATTCCCACACAATATGAGTTATATTTTTACAATTTACTTTCACAGGTCAATCCCAGAGGAGACTGAACAGGTAAAGTGTTAATAAAGTCACCGATTCTGTGCATCCTGAGACCAGCAGAGAGGGAGCACCTGTAACCAAACAGTCAGCTGCAACTTGACCCTGAACAGCTACTTCACAAAAGTACTTAAATTTGAAATCACAACTGCCAAGAATGTTGAGTGATTTAGGATTTGGTGCCAGAATGAACACAATCCTGAACAGGTGAGACAACTCACAAACTCTCCAAAACATTCATAAAAAATATGATAGTAGCTTTGCCAACACAGTTTTAAAAGTAAACTTACATGAATTCTAAGCTTGCATTTAGCTTCCAAACACAATTTTGGCAAGCAGGAATACTCAAAATATTGTAATAAGGTATCATTTTTTTGTCTTTATTAATTTTGAGAGAGAAAGGGAGAGGGAGAGAGGAAACATCGATGAGAGAGAACGTCAATTGGGCCACCTCCTACTTTCCCCCTACCAGGAATTGAACCAGCAACCTCTTGGTGCATGGGTTGATGCTCAACCACTAAGCCACACCGGCCAGGCATAAGGTATCATTTTTAACTAATAATGATACTGAGCCCCATGGGGTTAAGGGATTTGTACAAAATATTTTAAAAATTCATTTGTGCCCTTGCCAGTTTGGCTCAGTGGTTAGAGCGTCAGCCCGCGGACCAAAGAGTTGCAGGTTCGATTCCGGTCAAGGACACATACTTCAGTTGAAGTTCATCCCCAGCCTTGGTTGGTGTCCCATGTGGGAGGCACCCAGTCGATGTGTCCCTTTTACGTCAATGTTTCTCTCTCTCTCCCTTTCTCTCACTTTTTTCCCTCTCTCCCCCTCCCACTCTATCTGAAGATAAATAGAAAAATATTCATGGATGAGGATTAAATAAATTCATTTGCCAAAAATATAGACAAATATCAGTTACAGTCCTCTGAATGTAGCACAAAAGCATAATTCAACATTTTATACATACGTGTGTGTGCGCGCATATGTATCCACACATGTTAAAAAACAAAAATTACAATCAACATTACCCATCCAAAGGACTATCAAGTGATGGACAACTTCCTGAGCCAGAATTTTCAGGGCTGCTTAAAAATAACGGGTCCAGCATCTAGAAAAATATAGAGTTCCACCATCTGATGTTTTGTTTTTTTTTAAAAAAACAGCTTCATTGAGATATAAATAATGTAACATAACATTTACTCATTTAAAGTGTACAATTTAATGATTTTCAGTATATTAAGGGTTGTGCAACCTTCACAACAATCTTGGAACATTTTCGGTACCCAACAACAAAACCCCAAAGCCAACAGCAGTCACCCAAAGAGCTACTCACTTACATGTTTAATGTGTGTAGCTTTCCCTTATAGGCAGGCTACAACTTCAAAATTTCCTAAGAGAAAAACATTGTTTCTCTACAGATTATTAGCTACATAATTAAAAGCTGGAAATGTCACGTAATGTTGCTCACTGTAACGGCACAAAGGCCCCGCCCAAGGGAGACTGATGATGCTGTGACTGGTCCTTGTCAGAAAATGAAACTGCCATCGTGAGCAGCCAATGTCAGTTAAGGAAACAACGAGAACTCCATGGAGATATTTCAATGCTGCAAAACTTTTAATAACAATTTTTTTCTATTTTGTTCATTAGATTCCACAAAAATACAGAACTTCACAGATGTGCACAGGGGCCATGCTAACCCTCTCTGCATGGTTTCAATTTCAGTGTGTGTGCTGCTACAGTGAGCCCTTAGTGACGTTTTAAAAGTTGACAAACCTCACCTTCACAAAGTTAAATATTTGTTTTACTGTGTCTTTCAAATATTAATTTTAAAATCTGAATATTAACCCCAGGATTACAAATACCTGCATTCATTTATTTATAGCTGGGCAATATAAAACAGTCTGCCTCACCCCAGCTGTCTTTATGCATGAACGCACAGAGGTACATGTAAATCAGTGGGCATTTTCCTACATTTTTTACTATTTTGTTCACTTAAGGAAGATATGGGGTTGGAAAAGAGGAGTCAACACACACCCACACACCTGCCAAACCACAATGACCTTGACAACACCCCTTTAGACAAAGTGAAACCATATCTAGCTTCCGCTCACCTGGTCCATGCTCTCGGGGATGAACTCTCCTTCACTGTTGATGCTGGTGAAGGACCCATTGCGGGCCACCTGATGCAACTCGTCTGGAATGTATCCTGGGGGAGGGGAGCTTTGATCGCGACTGGTGGGACCTCAAAGAAGAAAAGTATATGATTTTATCAGTATCAGCATGGAATCAATTTTTGTTTTAATTGAATATACCCAGAATTTCTGGACTATCTTACAAATAATTTTAGCAACTAAAACCCAGTTATCAAAATTTATCAAAACATCCATGTATTTAGAACTTTAAATATTTTTATGCCTTTCTAAACTCCCACCTCAGTGTAACGATTACCTCACTGTGACATTCATTTACATGTATTAGGTGGGTGCCCTCTTCTGGCTGCTGACAAATGCATTGTGGGGTTGATAACACAAGAAAGTCTTTTAGATGAGTGCCACTGCTTCAGAATTTCCGGAAGGCACCTGTGTCCAGGGCTAGCCTCAGTGTGACTTACGGAAGGCATCAGAATGTAGTGGAGAGAACGTGGGCTTTAGAGGCAGACCTGTGCATAAATCCCAGTTCTAGTTATCTATCAGCTATATGTCTTTGGGAAAGTCAGCCAATCTCCAAAAATCTGTTTCCTCCCCTGTAACATAGGACTAAATCCCTTCTCTGCAAGAGTACTGTGACTACCAAGTCATCCATAATGAACACATGCTATGCACATCTATCTCCAACACCCCCTGTCTACTCCCTCTTTGATCTTTAGAAACCTAAAGCTAGATGACTTCTTACCCACTTAGGTCACATAAGAATGCTTTCAATTTGGAGCCCTGAGCTCCATTTTTGGGGACTTAAAATAAGGCTTTTGTTGTGGCAAGCCATGTTCCTGAAATGCACATTTTTTCATAGTTTAGAAAATCAGAGAATCTAATATAGGTCATCTAATTAATCACCTAATTTCTTATTAAACAAGAATCCACTTTATTTTTACCTGGTTGTACAGAAATAATGCTGTTTATTAACAGTTTCTCTCCTTTGCTCCTAATTTTTTAAAATTAAACAATAAACAACATATGGGTAAGTTATATGAACATTAAAACTCTGGTCAGATTTCAAACAACAACAAAAAATGTTTTCCCTTATGTAAAGGGGTGATTTTAAGTCTATACCAGGGATGGCAGGGGAAGAGAGAATAAAATGGTTACCAAGAGATGTGTGTACGAGATGACTGTCTACACTTGACTCTATGATGAGGGGGAGCTGAACTCTAAGCCGGGGCTGATTTAGGCTTTGTAACAACTATGACCGCACTGTCCCTAATATTTTTATTCCTTCCATATATCATGGATTATAAAAGAAGACCAATATACTCATAACTAAAAGGAGACAGGGAAGAAAAAAAGACTATGGAAGTGTCGCCTCCTGACTTAATGACTTGTGCTGGTAATGGGTGTGCCAGTGCACTCCTGGTCAGGGCCTTCACCCCAGCACAGGTTCCCATCCCGAAGCGAGTCTTTTCTCCAGCTATCCATTATGAAACTAGTTGAAGGGAATAACTGTTAGTAAATAAGGAAAAAAGATAATGATCATATCTATCAAAGCACTCCGAGCTGAAAAAGGTACTTAAAGGAGTACCAATGGAAGACCAGTACTCGACACTCTATAATTCCCACTGTCTTCTTGTGCTGGCAGTGGGATCAGACAATAATATTTATCAGCAGAACAAGACTGAAACGTTCAGTACGATTTTAACTCAAAATGAATTTAATATGTCAACTTAACTAGTGCATTTAAGTTTGTTCTGTCTAATGCAACTAAAATAAATTGGCAACGTTTGCCCTGGCCAGAGTGGCACAGTTGGTTGGTGTGTCATCCTGTACACTAAAAGGTCGTTGGTTCAATTCCAGGTCAGGGCACATACCCAGGTTGTGGGTTTGATCCCTGGTTGGGGCATGTGGGGGAGGCAACTAATCAATGTTTCTCTTTCTCTTCCTTCCTCTCTGTCAAATCCATTAAAAAATAATAATAAATAAAAATAAATTGAGAATTTTTTACTTTGAAATGATAGGTACCATAATGTGATGAGAAAAGGGAATAAAGAAATGTATAACTAATAATACTCGTGCTTTCTAGTTTGAAAAGCAAACTGCTTTACAAGTGTTCTCTCAATGTACTGCCACACAATCCCATGACTGAGAGATGCGGGCGCAGTGACTGATCAGGCTAATCAGAGAGCTGGAACTGATATTCCAGTGGCCCCAATGTCCTTCCACCGTGAGTTATACAGAAATACATCCAAATGAAGACAAGCAGTGTTTACTTGCAGATTCTCTCCACTGCTCCACATTTCCAGCATTTCTGAGAACAAAGGGACTTATGTAAGACTGACCCTCAGAAGGAAATAGCCATAAAATAACTTTTTCTAGAGACCAAAACAGGTAATAAATAACTGGTACTTTTGGTAGTTCGCGTGCTAATCTAATTTTTCCTTGGATCACTGACAACCCTCCCCTGCCACCGGTCTTGGACTCCCAGTCACACCCCTTTTCTGTCTCCCTCTCTGGCTTCTTCCCTGTGCATTTGCTGCTCCTCTGTTTCTTCCCTTTACACCATCACTCAAATACGTTCTCCTTCTGCCCCCTTTAGACTCTATTCACTGCCCGGTCTGTTAAAAACATGTATACCAGCCCTGGCCAGTTTGGTTCAGCGGTTAGAGCATCGGCCTGCCGTCCAGAGAGACCTGGGTTCGGTTCCCACTAAGGGCGTGTACCTCGGTTGCAGTTTGTCCCCGGCCCTGGATGGTCGTGCGGGTGGCGGCCACTTGATGTGTCCCTTTCACGTCGATGTTTCTCTCTCTCTCCCTCCCACTCTATCTGAACAAAAAAAATGGAAAAATGTCCTCGGGTGAGGACAAAAAAAAAACATGTATACCAGTGGTTTTTGAGCAATGTGATACTCTTACAATATAAAAATGTAGATTATCAGTGCTTTATACAAATGGAAAACTGGGGAATTAAGAGCAGTTCTGCCCAACCCATGCCTCTTAACAGGCTTCCTTTAAAACAAACGCACAGCCTGGCCGGTGTGGATCAGTGGACTGAACATCATCCCACGGACTGAGAGGTCCTGGTTCGATTCCAGGTCAGGGCACATGCCTGGGTTGCAGGCTTGATCCCCAGGAGGGGGCGTGCAGGAGGCAGCTGATGAATGTTTCTCTCTCACACTGATGTTTCCATCTCTCTCTCCCTTCCTCTCTTAAAAAAAAAATCAATAAAAAACATATTTAAAATTTTAAATTTAAAAAGGCACACAGCATCCATCATCCATGTCACTTCATACCACAAACTTAACTATAACAGTATATTATTAATGAGAAATAAAAATTGAATACTAATGAAGTAATAATAAAGCATAACCTTGAAACTCTTAGCAATGTTTATTCTGATAACATTCATGGCATTAACTAAAACTTATGAGAAAAGTTTATGAACATAGTCCATTCATTAAGTTTTTTTTAAATCCTCACCTGAGGACATGGTTAAAAAAGGGAGAGAGAGGGAGAGAGAAGCATCAATCAGTTGCCTCCTGTATGCTCCCCACAACTCAGGTATGTGCCCTGCTTTGGAATCAAACTGGCAACCTTTCCGTGATGGGGACGATGCTCAACCAACTGAGCCACTCCAGCTGGACCATCCATTCATTTTAATATATTAAAATACTTCTTTTAATTTTCTTCCCTCCAGTTTATTTGCACAATTAAAATTTCTTTGAGTAATTTCAATTTGTTCAACATAAAATACCCCGGGGTATATAAAGAAAGAGAATGTGTAAGTTGGAGACTGCTAACCCTGTAATAATTGACATAATTTTCAAGAAATATGAAATACTAGACCACAGTTCACTGAGATAAATCACAGAGTATAGAGATAAGCTGCTATTTATCAGGGTTATGCTTAGGTTGCATAAAAGGATAGAGAAAAAACAGAAATCACCCATTTCAGGATTCAGACACTGGCTTTCTTACCTATTATAGAAAGCCGTTTTTTCCTCTCTGCTTCAAACACTGTGTTATCCAAGTCATCTAGCGATGGCATTGGTTCCACATTAGTAGCCTATAGAGGAAAAAGGATGATTAATACTATTCTTCCCCTTTAAGGCTTTAACAGAACCCTCTCCCCACTAAAAACATCCTAGATGGTCCATATTGTTTGTGAGTCTTACCAAATATACTCTTTGAAATTTTAATATAATTCTTCCCAAGTTCTCAATTTCTGCTAGTTTCACATGTACAATATATTATACTTGTAATTTTGGCTACACAGTTTTGAGGAGCAAGGATATTAAACTACAGTAGTTACAATTTGTAAATTTTCATTTAATCATATTGAAAATACATCAATTATAGAAGTAACTATGTTTCATATATTGACTTTTACAGGCACAGATCCGAAAATCCTTACTGAAAAGCACCCCAGTTCATACCTGTGTACTTCCATCTATCACAAGTAGTATCTTGAGGCTCTTCATATGAATACTACGATCCAGCAGTTCCACGGCTTTGTCTAAGTCATCTTGCGTAGTCAGTGGAATTACCAACTAAACAGAAAGAAACATTAGGAATCACCACCCACCTCCCCAGGTCAAGTCCTCCCAGGACCCTCTCCACTCCTATGAAGTCACACACGGTAGCTTTCAGAATACCTGCCTCTTGGATTTGTCAGTGTAATGAAATTCTGAATGAACACGTGTCCCACTGTTTTGCTCTTTCCATCCTGCCACCCCTAAAATCACAGAATATGAACACTTCGTCTTGCTTTATGAATTATTAAATTCTTCCAGAAACATTTTAAAATTATCTAGAATATTCCCATAATATTGCTAAACTTAAGTTATACTATCTTCACTCCAAAAGAGCATTAGAGTACACACAGACACTATAAAATAAAAGGCGCTATCATCTTTCGTCTGCACTGATGAAACTTAGCTTTTTTTCTTCTTTTAAACAGTAACCACAAATCTGCATTCTCACTGGGTGTGCTGACCGACACACCACATACAATGGACACCTGAGACAGCTATGGTGGAAGGCTCGTATCCTAACCCTGGTGACTGGACCCCTACACTCAATAAATACCAGCTACATAAGTTAGCCATCCCATAGTGAATCCTGAAGGTAGAAATCCGCTTTCACCAGTCCCCTAATGGATCAGACGTTATAAGGGGGGGGTATATGAGAACAAGCATGATTCATACAATTAAACAAAATCAAAATAACCCTTTTCTTTCTGGAAAAAAAAATGGAAACTTAATAGCATTACACGACCTTCAATAACCTTCAAAGTCTACCCCGTTTCATTAGAAGGAGGACAGAATGAAAACTAGTGAAAGTACCCCACACTTAGCCATTCAAGTGTAAAGACCTGGTCAGTCTTTGGTCCTCTACAGTATAAATTCCTTGAAGGCAAGGACACCCTGCCCCCCCACACACATACCAGCAATCAACACAGAGCAAAAAGAGCAAACACTCGCTAAATGCTGTTTAATGAGCACCACACAGGTGAAGCATCACCTGACCCAAACCCACTGGGCAACATGGTGTGCACTCCTGGTCCAGAGACGACTTTTTTTTTTTTATCCTCACCCGAGGACATTTTTCCATTTTTTGTTCAAATAGAGTGGGAGGGAGGGAGAGAGAGAGAAACATCGACATGAAAGGGACACATCGAGTGGCTGCCACCCACACAACCAACCAGGGCCGGGGACAAACTGCAACCGAGGTACGTGCCCTTAGCGGGAACCGAACCCAGGTCTCTCTGGACCACAGGCCGACGCTCTAACCGCTGAGCCAAACTGACCAGGGCTCCAGAGACTTCTTTATGGAAAAAATTCACACTCGGCTGGTCTGGCTCAGCAGTTAGAGTGCGGGCCTGCAAACCAAAGAGTCGCAGGTTCAATTCCGGTCAAGGGCACGTACCTCGGTTGCAACCTGTCTCCCTCCCTCCCTCCCTCTCACCCTATCTGAAGATAAATGGAAAAATATCCTCAGGTGATGATTTAAAAAAAAAAAAAAAAGATTTAGAAAAAAATTTCTTGTTTTAAGAAAAGCTACCAGGCCCTGGTCAGAGCATCAGCCTGCACACCAAAGAGTCTCGAGTTTGATTCCCAGTCAAGGGCACAAACCTGGCTGCAGGCTCCATCCCTGACCCTGGTCAGGGCGGGTGAATGAGGCAGCCAATCACTGTGTCTCTCTTGAGGATGTTTCTCTCTCTCCCTGCCCCCACCTCTCCCTTCCACTCTCTCTAAAAATCAATGGAAAAAAATATCCTTGGGTGAGGAGTAGTTCCAAATAAACAAGTAAATAAGTAAATACAAGAAAGTCTGCCAGACTGTAGCACAGCAGACCCTGCAGGAGGCGAGCTCTGGTTTCTCAATCAGCCTTCAATAAAACTGGTTTCATGAGCTGTTGCACCTCAGCCAGGAGCCATCACGCTGCTAAGGGAGGACGTGCTGTGTAAAGCAGGACTAATGAAGAAGAATTCCATCACACACTCTGCTTGCTCCCTGCCCAGTGCCTGAAATCATATCCCCAGTTTCTATACATTACAACTTATCAACCAGACACTTTTTTTTCTGAGAATTTTTTCTAATAACAAAAAATTGCCTTGGCCGGTTTGGCTCAGCAGTTGGAGTGTCGCCCGGGAACTAGAGATCTCGGGTTCGGTTCCCGCTAGGGGCACATACCAAAAAAAAAAAAAATTAACTGTTTGGTATCACAGAACAAGCCTGATCTACTTAATTACATTCCTTTCATTATCGTGTCAATTATGAACCATAATGGTACACTTTGTTCCTATCATTAATAGTCTTTTATATTATAATTTAAGCACTGGAAAACATTTTAAAGAAATGATGAAGACTGTTTTACCAATTTTTCATTTGAGGGCAAAACCTATGTATTTACTTATATTACACATTTAATTATAATTGGAATATTTACTTCTCCAAGATACTGTTGGTTTGGGGGAAACACTAGTTTAAATCCCATAGCAAACATGAAGGAAAGGGATCCTCTTCTCAGCTTGCACACATGAACTGTGGGCGCTGGGGGGCCAGAGCGGGAGCCTGGACTACTCCGTGGTTCTGATGCAATCCCCTGGATGTTCTGAGGTCACCTGTTACAAACTGTGTCAGTCCCTGCTTGCCTAAACTGTACTGAGTAAATCACACAATGTTTTCCTGCTTCATTAATTCATTTTAGTCTCATTCGTGAAATCAATTTCCGCCTGACTTATTACTGATAAATCAGTTGTGTGTTAATATAAAACCTAGAAGAAACACTAAAAATTGAGTCAGAAAACCCACTAAATAAATTTTTAAAAAATAGTTTTCCTGACTTTACATAGTGAAACATTAAACAGTCCATAAAAAGTTTTTCTTCCTCGCCCTGGCCGGTATGGCTCAGCGGTTAGAGCGTCGGCCTGTGGTCCAGAGAGGCCCGGGTTCGGTTCCCACTAAGGGCACGTACCTCGATTGCAGTTTTTCCCCGGTCATGGTTGGGTCGTGCGGGTGGCAACCACTCCGATGCGTCTCTCTCTCCCTCTCCCTCTATCTGAACAAAACATGGAAAAATATCCTCGGGTGAGGATTAAAAAAAAAAAAAAAGTTTTTCCTCCTCTACCCATCGAAAATGGAAACCATCTTAAAAATCCACTTTCTTTATCCCCCCCCCTTTTGATCCTCACCTGAAGATTTTTTCATTAATTTTTAAAGAGAGAGGAAGGGAGGGAGAGAGAGAGAGAGAGAGAGAGAGAAACATTGAGGTAAGAGAAAAACACTGATTGGTTGCTGTCCATAGGTGCTCCGATTGGGGGTTAAATTCACAACCTAGGTATGTGTCCTGACCGAGAATCAAACCCGCAACCTAGGTACATGTCCTGACCAAGAATCAAACCCACAACCTAGGTACGTGTCCTGACCGAGAATCAAACCCACAACCTAGGTACATGTCCTGACCGAGAATCAAACCCGCAACCTAGGTACATGTCCTGACCAAGAATCAAACCCACAACCTAGGTACGTGTCCTGACCGAGAATCAAACCTGCAACCTAGGTACATGTCCTGACTCAGAATCAAACCTGCAACCTAGGTACATGTCCTGACCAAGAATCAAACCCACAACCTAGGTACATGTCCTGACCAAGAATCAAACCCGCAACCTAGGTACGTGTCCTGACCGAGAATCAAACCCACAACCTAGGTACATGTCCTGACCAAGAATCAAACCCACAACCTAGGTACATGTCCTGACCGAGAATCAAACCCGCAACCTAGGTACGTGTCCTGACCAAGAATCAAACCCGCAACCTAGGTACGTGTCCTGACCGAGAATCAAACCCGCAACCTAGGTACGTGTCCTGACCGAGAATCAAACCCACAACCTAGGTATGTGTCCTGACCGAGAATCAAACCTGCAACCTTTTGGTGTAAGGGAGGATGCTCCAATCAACTGAGCCACCAGCCAGGGCAGAAAACCCACCTACTTCCTATGCACACCCCACATCTATTGCTCATGACAATGCACACACACACATCCCCCCCACACACACACCCCTGATACTTTTTACATAAACAGGAGCCCAACTAAAATCCAATCAATTGTGGCTTAAATGTACTTGTTTCAATGTTGGCAAGCTAGAAGTTTACAGAATAGTGATTTTTTGGAACATATTTTATATTACACTAGAAAACAATATTTCTAGAATTGGAATAACAAACAGTATAAATGAGTTTTTTGCTTGTCCACAGGCCAACAAAAATAACATCCCCTGTAAGTTCTTTCCTAAGACTCTGAAAGTTCAAGGGCACGCACTGAAGCAGTCATCACACAGATTCCCAGACCACAGATTCTCACACAAGGAATTTTAAACGAGGTCCTGTCACCCTAATGCCTCCTCTACGTCCTCCTGCCCAAGGCCGCCCAGTTGTAAGGGCAGAGCCACTCCCAGAAACCCTTCAGAGAGCCAAAGGGGAAAAATCTGAAAATGGAGAAACGTTCCTATTTTTAGAAAATGGAGGAGGGTTCCTAAAACAATAGCTCAATTAGCCTGATGTCAGCCCTCAATAAAATGCTACAAAATTTATATACACAAATTGGGAGAACTCAGAAAAGAAACAGTAAGTCTAGGAACAAGAACAGGTATAGCATGAAAAAATTTCAAACAAACATCATTTTTCTTGCTAGACCTTGCCTGGTAGATCAAGACAATACTGTAGTCTTAACATATCTGACATTTGAAAATGTTCTATGATACAACTTTAGACCAAACAAAAACAAAGATGCTTCTGGGTTCCCCTAGAATCACAGCATGAGATTACAATTCAAGTTCAAGATGTTTACATGGTAAGAGACACTAGGAAACACTGGCAGAGAAATAAGGAGGTGGGGAGGAGGAAACTCATGAAGGATGCATTGTCCAGCAAGTTACCCCTGTGGGCAAGTGGAGCCTGTCCCTCCCCACCTATTCTTGGTAGGTACTTCAGCCTGGACCCTAGAACAATGTTCCTGAAAAGCCACCAGAATCTCAGGGGCTAGCAGTGGGAAATCAGGCCGGCACAAAAAGAAATAATAAGTGCCAAGACGGAGCGGGGCAACAAGGTGTTCATGGCTAATAAAAAAGCCAACAACTTACTTGAAAAATAAAAATTTAAGGTATTACAATATTACAGTACTCATCACTTAGTTCAGGTATACTATTTCTTTAAAAATGGATTTTCAATCAGAACATCTTTCATTTTCAGCTGTTTCTTAAATGAGCTATATTTTCATGTTCTCTTGCTTCAAATTAATAATTCCTTTGAAAATCTTGTATTTTCAAATGTTTCCATTTGCATAATGCTTTAACATTTGCAAAGCAATTTCACATTTTCTAAAATTAACTTTTTACTAAGCTTTCCACTGTCACTCCATTTCCACTGGTGCTTTTCCTGTTCCTACAACAAAGAAGTCTCGTCCATGTCAGGCCCCCCACTGCTCTCGAGCTGCTCTCCCACCAACAGTGTTCCTTCTCTCACACTCTTTGCAGGGCTGGCTGTTCGTATAAGCCTCAGTCCGTCTTCCTTCGTACCATCCGAATGGAACACCTACCGCCCTTGCCTTTATTCTTATCTCGATACTTTTAGCATTTCCTTCAAAGAACATAATATATTTGAACAATTTATTTACTAACTGCTTCTGTTACAAGTCTACGAATTCCATAAGGGCTGCAATTCCTAACTTGTAGCACTATACCTGGCAAATTCAATAAGTAACTTCTGAGGAGGTAAAAAAAACAAAAACTAAAAACACCAGTACAAACTGGCCAGTTAACTGCATTGTCCCTGAAACTTTCCAGATCTCAACATCTTGAGATCCCATAGGATCTGAAAGAAACCCCAAAGATCATAGAATCCAATCCAAATTATACAGAAGTTTCAAAAGAGGATTCCCCAGAACACAGAGCTCCTCAGAAACACAGCCAGCCCTTAAGGTCATCATAGACTGACTCCCAAATATAAACATGATCTAATCACGTCTTAACCAACACGGAAATCATCCTGTAAGTTTCAACTAAACTGTTTCACTACCAAAGCTCTATTGTCTCTGTAGCCAAGCATGGAGTATAAGAAAAGATAGTTTATCAATAAAGTACACAGAGCCCTGGCAGGTTTTGCTCAGTGGTTAGAGCATCAGCCCACAGACCAAAGAGTTGCAGGTTCAATTTCAGTCAAGGGCAGGCACCTCGGTTGCTGTTTGATCCCCGGCCCTGGTTGGGGTCGTGCAGGAAGAAACCAATCAATGTGTCCCTGTCACATCAATGTTTCTCTCTCTCTCCCTCCCTCCTTCACACTCTGTCTGAAGATAAATGGAGAAATATCCTCGGGGTGAGGATTTTTAAAAAATAAATAAAGTACAGAGTAAATATAAAATACAAATAAGTAGCAAACACCTAGGATATATGTATTTCCTCCTTCAACAGACTCTCATTCAATTATTTTCACAGCAGCACCTTTTAGTATCTTTGACACTGGAAAATATCCACTTTAATTAGTTAAATTTACAAAATGAACTGAGCCAGTCCCCCTAGCACACTGTACCCTTCTCAACCCCGGCTGACAGCGCAGCCCTCACGTGGCCTCTGAGATGCGCACGGCTCTCCGCAGGAGCAGCAGCTTCCGCGGACCCCTGTACCTCGTTGTTGGTGTAATGCAGCTCCATGGCCTGTCCGAAGGCAACCTTGGCTTTGGACCTCAGGTCATCCAGTTTGACTGGTCTGGGGAACTGAAGGATTCTGTGCAAACCAGATTTTAAAATGTTTTATTTTCTTAGGCAGAGTTAAATAACATCCTTCATCGGGTATCTCTTGAACAGAGACATTAAAATCAAGTAAAGATGTAAACACCCACTTTATGTGAACACTACAATGGCTTATTTCTGATCAAGTGCATTCACTCTCAACAAAAAGTTCAAGAACTCTATAGTCTGTCCCATTCTAATAAAGTTATAAAAAGGAGTTCTCAGAATGTTCCACAGTTTGTAATTTGCACTGACACTTACGTGAATATTAAAAAGAAATGTGAGATGTTCACAGAAGAAAATAGTTAAACGTAACTAGACAACATCCACACAATGGAATGGACCAGAACTGTCAGAAAGAATAAAGTTGTTTTTTGGGGATTCAGATTTTGATTTCTGTACCATTATCAACTCAGCGTTAAAATATAAATGTATTTTAACTCTCGTATTTTCTTCCTATGTTGCAATGCAGGCCTGTGCTGCCCCGGGGAGCACGCACCCAGGCGTGGAGACAGCTGCACAGCCTGCAGCCCTGCAGGGGATGGTCTGCTTCACTGGCTTCATTCCTTCATGGCCCAGCACATAGTAAGCAAACAATAAACAGTGTTCCAGGAATGGGGAAAAAAAACAAAAAAAAACCTCTGAAAATATCCATAAAAAATTTTTAAATAGGAAAAAAAGTAGAATAAACACTATGTGTATGGTGTATCTGGTATATCCCATTTAAAAAAATTGTATCTCTGTGTTACATTTTTATATCTCAGGATATATGATTTGTGAGCCTCTTTAAAGTCCTTAAAATGGATAGATCTTTTCATTAAATTAATTTAATGAGACATGAATAACAAAAATGAAATCCCATATTCTCCAACTCCTATTAGGATTCTTAGTAATTGTGTTGTTAACCATCACCACCACCTCCACTACTGTCCTGAGACACAGATGCCTGGAAGAAGACTAGGCTTACACCTCTGCTAAACAATTTACAGCCACCGTTCCGAATCAGTTCCCTCATTCCAGAATCATTTCACCAATTAAGTGCATGTCATATGACTGAAGGTCTTGAGAATAATCAAAATTGTGCATGTTAAGCCCACATACATAATTCTGTATAGTATCTGAAGCACTGATATAATTATGATATGTAAAAATAACAGGAAATGGTAATATTCAATGGCCGCATTATGTAATGATCTTATTTACTTCCTAATACTGCAAAGTGAAAACATTAATCCTTTCTAATGTTTAGTCTGAATTTTGACAGCTTCTATCTTAAGTCTAAATATATGTTACATATTACCAAGGAATATTCTATTCTCAATTTGTAAGCCATGAGCTTTCATTAAAATATAGACAGAACTTCTAAAGACTTTACCTAGAACACATATTTAATTAAATCAATAATCTGAAATGTCATGTTTCTTTCCTTACCTTTTCTCTCCTCTATGTTCAAATTTGACTCGGACATCATTCTATAATGAAATGATAAGTCATCTTAGAAATCAGATACAATTTCTAGAATTTCTAAATCAATATTTTCTTAATCACTCATTTAAAACAGAGCAGAGGGGGAAGGAGGTTTCATTTCAGTATCAACTCCAGTCAATTGACAGGGTCTGCCAAAGAGCAGGTTGAGAATTACATGACTGCATCCGGGCCCAACAGAAAAGACCTTCAAGCTCTGTTAGTGATGGCATCAGGATATGAGCCATGTGTTAACCCTGTTACAAGGCAAATACAGGACACTCTGTTTCCACTTTTCATGTCGACACCCCGAACAAATTTTATCTAGAAGAATCAAAATGATCCTCATTTGTAAATATATAGAGTAGACTACTTTGAATGAAAAAAATCTGCTTATCTTAAGTACTTTAAGAATGGATGAAATAGCTTCAGCAAGCAGTTACATTAAATGTAACTCTACCATTTTTTAAAAACACACACCCTTATAAAAAAACGGTTTAACAAAATATTTGATTCAAAAGTATAAAAGCTAAACACTTGAAGCAAAACCTCTATACGATCAAGGTATTCAAGAAAAATTATTCATAGAACAATATACATTTATTAAAATATCACTGACACAAATACCTGCTTTTTTGGTGATAAAGACTTTGCTTTCCTGGCTTCCTGCAGGGACAGTGCTGGTCGACTGGCCTTGTGAAGAACGGCCAGATCCTGCATGATGGAGTTCAAGGCTTGCTGGTCATCTGGGTGTTTGTGAAACATCACATTCAGAATTGTAATTTCAATATGTATTTACTATTGACATCAACCACAAAATGTATAATGAAATTTAATTAAAAAATGCATCTAGAACATTTTCAATGATGACACTTCTGTTATTTTGGTGAAATAAAATTTTAATTAGCCCTGGCCAGTGTTGCTCGATGGTTAGAGTGTCATCCTGTGCAATGAAGGGTTCGATTACCAGTCAAGGGCACGTAACTGGGTTTCAGGTTCGATCCCCAGCCCCAGCTGAGGCACATACATGCGGGAGGCAACTAAACAATGTGTCTCACGTAACTGTTTCTCTTTCTATCACTCTTCCCCCACCCCACCACCCCCTTACCCCCTCTAAAAAAAATATCAATAGAAAACGTATTCTCGGATGAGGATTAACAAAAATCTAATTATTTAAAAACTGAAGGTCAGTAACATTAACACAGCACTGGACACAAGCACTAGCATCACACTAGGTGTCTACACGAGACGTTTATGGGAAAAATAAGGTCATTCTGCTTCTTCTAATGATGTAACATTCTAGAATGCAAGTAAACAGCCCTGTTATGACAAGTTCTTGTCCGTGACACCTAAACAAGACATCTAAAATCCTAATTAAAACAAGTGGGGGGAAATAACTTTCTATAAATACCATCATTATTTAGTATTTATGTTCAAAGTACAGAATTCCTTTTAGAGTTTTTTCTTTCATCAGACTTCAAGTCAGAAACAATAAAAGCTTTGCCTACTGATTTTATGAAGTGTTTTCTTGAACTTGTTCCCCATAAGGTTCTGTAGAAACATTTAAGACTCTAATGATCTCAGCCAGGAACAATTCAAAAGGTAACAATATAAGAAAAAACCATTCTTAAGGGAAAAAAATACTGAACACATAAAACTGAGTGAAAGAATCATGAACCATAAATTTTTAATTTTTTCCAAACATATCAAAGATTTCTTCCAAAGACTGTTAGCATGAGCTTCTAGCAATGCCCATCATATGCTCTCAGGACAATGTAACTGATTTTTCACTAGTAAATCAATTCCACTAATCACAATCAACAATTGGTAAATAAAGGAATTGAGGGACTTTACAGCTTACATTTTAAAATGTAACCATTTTGGTGAGTAATAACTTATGTTCCAGAACAGCAATAATTAAAACATGCTTTATCGTGGGCCTGACCGGTTTTGCTCAGCGGTTAGAGCGTCGGCCTGCGGTCCAGAGAGACCCGGGTTCGGTTCCCACTAAGGGCACGTATCTTGGTTGCAGTTTGTCCCCGGCCCTGGTTGGGTCCTGCAGGTGGCAGCCACTCGATGCGTCCCTTTCACGCCGATGTTTCTCTTTCTCTCTTCCTCTCTCTCCCTCCCACTCTATCTGAACAAAAAATGGAAAAAGGTCCTCGGGTGAGGATAAAAAAAAAAAAATGCTTTATCTTGTAATAAAAAATCATTTAAAAGAATGTGGCAATTCAATGGCTTCCTCAGTCTTTCAAACATACAAATACCTGACTTCTATAATGTATTAATTTTTTGTAACACTTAATATATTCTGTTTTGTAGTAAAATTATTTGCCTATTAAAATGAAAATTAATGGGCCCTGGCCGGTTTGGCTCAGCAGTTAGAGAGACCCAGGTTCGGTTCCCACTAAGCACATGTACCTCTGTTGCAGTTTGTCCCTGGCCCTGGTTGGGTCATGGGTAGGCAGCCACTCGATGTGTCCCTTTCATGTCGATGTTTCTCTCTCTCTCTCTCTCTCCCTCCTACTCTATCTCAACAAAAAATGGAAAATTGTCCTCAGGTGAGGACAAAAAATAAATAAAAAATAAAATGAAAATTAATGGCTCCAAGGGTTTTACTAATAAATTCCAGGTTTAGAGAAAATTTTATTTTATTTATCTTTTTATCCTAACCCAAAGACATTTTTACATTTATCTCCAGATAGAGCAGGAGAGAGGGAGGAAGAGAGAGAGAGAGCGAAACATCGACGTGTGAGAGATACATCGACTGGCTGCCACCCACACGACCCCAAGTGGGGTCGGGGACAAACTGCAATAGAGGTACATGCCCTTAGCAGGAACCGAACCAGGGACTCTCTGGTCTGCGGCCAATGCTCTAACCACTGAGCCAAACTGGCCAGGGCTAGAGAAAATTTTATAAGTAAACTTTGTAAAGTAAAATTTCATCAAAATGTTAGCTTAGCCCCAGAGTAACTGAGCCAGTGGGTACGATATCACAACATCCGTACTGTCCATGGGTTAAAGCCAGACTATGTCCCTTATTGATAAAAATAAATCTTCCCCTAGAAAAAAAATAACTGAGAATGATCTCAACTGGAATAAAATCATCTGACGTAGGCTTGAAAAAGGTAAGATCTTTAATTCTGCATGGGTGAGGGGAATTCTAATACTTAAATGTATCTATGTTTTAATTATTTTCATTAAAAAAAAACTTAAAACACTTGAATTTAGGCATTTTCACATGTTTAATATCACAATCTCAAAATAAACAAATGCCTGGGAAGGCTTTGGCTTGAGTCTCTTATCACAGTCATGCACTCACTTCCTCGTGGAAAGAGTACTGTTTTCTATCACACACACAAACAAGAGGACCATCTGAATAAAGTCACTTCTTAGAGATGACATATTGATAAGGAGCAATTTAACTGAGCTCCTTTTTTCTGGCTTAAAGAAGAATCACATGGTAGATGAAAACCCAATAGGAAACTTAAAAATCCACAAAAGCTCATGCAAAGTGTGAGCTGAGATACCCTATGAGCAATATTCTAACAATTCTTAGTGCAAATCTCTCACAAATCTCTATGGTGGTCACAGGTCCTAGACAGGTAAGACAGGTTATAAACATTGTCAAGATCATAAGTCAATCCAATAAGCAGTAAGGATGCCCAGAGGGTCCCACAGTCTAACCAAGAGCCACCAGAAGAAGCGGTGGGTTTCTAACACATGCTGAAAGGACATTTAGTTGAGCACAAAACCAGAAAATATTTGGGAAGTAATTTCAAATGAAATCTTTTATTAGACATGTTTTGTTTGTTGTTTTTAATCCTCACCCGAGGAATTTTTCCATTTATCTTCAGATAGAGTGGAAGAGAGGAAGAGAGGGGGAAGGAGAGACAGAAACATTGATGTGAGAGAGGCACATCGACTAGTTGCCTCCTGCACGATCCAAACAGGGCTGGGGAAGAACCACAACAGAGGTACATGCCCTTGACTGGAATCGAACCCCCAACTCATTGGTCCGAGGGCCCACGCTCTAACCGTTGAGCCAAACCAGCCAGGACTAGACATGCTTAATTAGATACCTTATATGCTTATTCATTATACTTAAAACATAATTACAGGAGAACATCCTCAATAAAAAATTCAAATATCTGTAATTCACACTTTAAAATATTCATGTTTCCCTATGACTACATTGGATATGTTTTTAAGCAATGGCTGATGTTTGTTTTGTTGCTTATCATAGCGCAGTATTATTTGGGAAGTATGGCAGAAATCACTTCAATCAACATGCAGTTCAGACTGCAAGTAAGAACACTCAAAATGAAAGCGGACAGTTCAGTGACAGGATGTCCAACTGGAAGCTGACAAAGTGGGGGATCTGGACCATGTGATGGCGCCACACTCATGGTTACAGAGACAAATTTAACAAGTAGGACATGGCCCTCCAGCTTGCACACTTCACTGTGGAATCACTGAAAGTGTGCTAGCACCCGCAAGGCCACACTTATGCCCTTTGGCCTATAATGTCATATACACACATAAGAGTGAAAAACACATTTGTTAAGTGAGTAGTAGAACAAATGTGACTCAGACAGACAGAGGAAGTATACGTCAGAGCTAAGATATGGGCATCAATCTAAGTTTAGAAACTTAGCTTGGGTGGGCCATTCACTCCCTATCTTTCCAGTATTTCCCTGTCCAATCCCTGACTCACCATGGAACCCTCAACCCCAAGGAGAAAAGAAAAGAGGAAGTGAAGAAGAAAAGTTGACAAGTAAACTGAACACCCCCCACCTATTCCCGTTCTCCAGCCACCTCTCCGTTACACGGGATCCCACAGAAGACTCGCAAGAGCCATAAGTACACCCTCTCTGGGTGTCTATGATCTGCTGCTCTACTCTGTTAATTTCATGATTTATTACTTCTATGCTATTTTCTCTAGTCTATATTATTACATTGTTGGGTGATTACAACAATTAATTTCTGAGCATTTATTATTTTTTTAATCCTTATCCGATAATATTTTTCCATTTTTCTTCAGGTAGAGTGGGAGGGGATGAGGGAGAGAGAGACATCGATATGAGAAGGACACATCAACTGGTTGCCTCCCCTGACCAGGGCTGGGGATAAACCACAACCGAGGTACATGTCCTTGATGGGAATCGAACCCGAGACTCTTTGGTCCTAGGGCTGATGCTCGAACCGCTGAGCCAAACTGGCCTGGACCTGAGCATTTATTTAATCTTTAGAAGTCAGGTTTATTTATCAAATACTCTTTATGGCCATCAGACTCTAACAAAATCCACCTTAACAATTTGTTCTGAATGTCCCGTCAATATCCTCCATAAAATGGTCATTCCCAAACTGTAGCAATTAATGTAAGTTCTTTAACTGAAAACGTATTAAGTAAATAAATATAAAACATTACATAAAGTTAGTATATCATAAAATTTCTATTTTCCCTTTTTTATTTTTTTCCATTACAGTTTACATTCAATATTATTTTGTAGTAGCTTCAGGGTAGAGCATAGTGCTAGATGGTCACATATCTTACCAAGTGTCCCCCCCGACATTTCTAGTACCCTACCAGACCATACATAGTTAATGCCATATTAGTGACTGTATTTCTTATGCTGTACTTTACATCCCATTGCTATTTTGTAACTACTAATTTGTATGTAATTCCTCACCATTTTCATCCAGTCCCCCAACCCCCCTTCTGCTCTGGCAACCATCAGTGTGTTTTCTATATCTGTGAGTCTGTTTCTGTTCATTTGTTTATACTGTTCTTTAGATTTCACATATAACTGAAATCATATAGTATTTGTCTTTCTTTGACGTATTTCACTAACATAATACCCTCTAGGTCCATCCACACTGTCACACATGTAAGATTTCGTTCCTTTTTTATGGCCAAGTAATATTTCATCGTGTAAATGTACCACAGCTTTTTTACCCACTCATCAGATAATAGGCACTAGGGTTGCTTTCACAGCTTGGCTGTTGTAAAATGCTGCAACGTACATAGTGGTGCATATATTCGTTCAAATTAGTGTTTCAGATTTCTTTGGATATATACCCAGAAGTGGAATTGCTGGGTTATAAAGCAATTCCATTTTTAATTTTTTGAGGAATCTCCACACTGTTTTCTAGAATGGCTACAAGGTTTATCATGCACACAGAAAAAAAAATTTTCTCCCCATTTTATCCTTTAATTATAGACAAAAAAATTATTTTAGTTTGAACTTACCCATCATGACAACCAGCTCAACAATCTGAAAATTAGGGAAATGATTCTCCCATCAGCATTCTTCAGTGCCTTCAGAGGTAAAAAACAAACATCAATAAGAAGAAACAGGAGAGGCAGACACACACACAAAAAAATCAGTGTAAAAGACACTAATGAGAAACATACAGTATTAATCCGTCATACACTCTGCTGAAGACAGGTCGTTTATTTTTCCCAGACACTCAGTTTGCTGGAGCGTCATTCCCATGCACCAAGGTTGCGGGTTGTCCCTGGTCAGGGCACATATAAGAAGCAACCAATGAATGCATAAATAAGGGGAAGAACAAACTGCTGTTTCTCTCTCTCTCTCTCTCTCTCTCTCTCTCTCTCTCTCAAATCAATCAATAAAATTTAAATACACAGAGCGCAGCCTTGCAGTGTTCTGCCTGTTCCCGTCTCCCTGCCCTCTACTCCCATCCCCAAGGCAGCAGCATAAACCAGCAGCCAGTCACCATGAAAATGAACAGCCACAGAAGAGGACTGAATGGGCAGGAATGCCTTCAAAGTCTGAGTCTCCCAAAATTGACACTATCTGACCTATCTAAGTTAGATGGTAGACCCCACTTGAAAGGCTGTCTTTATTTAACCTGACTCAAAGTTCTTGCAGTGCAAAAAGCTTGGGGTGTTTGTTAAAACCAATCAGGCAATTACCACATTATCTCAACTGTCTGAGGAAGAGGCAAACAATTGGGGCAAAACAATAGTTTAAGGAAAATAACTTCTTTCAGAAAAGCTAGGAAATGAGATGTCAATAGAAAGCTTGCAGAAGCTCCAACAGACTCCAGGGACTCTGGAAGTCACACACACATGTCTGAGGCTGCTGCAAACTGAAGACAGGTCTAAGAAAGCCCCAAGGCTTCACCTGGGACTAACTGGAGGCACGGTGCAGCAGTGCAGAAAGTTAAGACAAAAGGGGATTGTGAGTGCCCGGAAGGACCTGAAGGCCAGCCTCAGTATGCAGAGACCCTCTCAGAAAGGACTGTGCAACTACTGGTTCCAGGCATCGGAGGAACTGACTGAGCAATCTTCAGTCACCACACACAACAAGGATCATGGACTTTAAAAAATTACATCCTTAGTCGCTAAATGAATAAACAAGAAAAAACAAACAAAAAAATCGAGGAGGGAGGAGAATATGATTTCCAGAAGTGGCACAGTATAATATTTAAAATGTCCAGTTTTCAAGAAAAAGTCATGAGACACGAGGACGGCATAGCTCTATATACAGGAAAAAAGGAAATCAACAGAAACCGACCTTTAGGAAGCCTATTTAAAGATAGACCAACAAAACAAAGACATTAAATCAGCTATGTTCAAAGAACTAAGGAAACCATGTCTAAGGAACTAAGGAATGCATGAGAATTCCATAAAGAAACACAAATTATAAAAAAGGGAACAGACAAATTCGACAATCTAAGCGAAATGGACAAATTTCTAGAAACACACAGTCTCCTAAAACTATTCCCGGAAGAGATAGAAAACTTGAACAGACCAATAACAACTAAGGAAATTGAAGAGGTAATCAAGACTCTCCCAGCAAACAAAAGCCCAGGCCCAGATGGTTTCACGGGGGAGTTTTACCGAACATTCAAAAAAGAACTAACACCCATTCTCCTCAAACTATTTCAAAAAATTCAAGAAGAAGGAAGACTTCCAAACACGTTCTATGACGCCAGCATAATTCTACAGTAATTCCAAAACCAGAAAAAGACACTACGAAGAAAGAAAACTACAGGCCAATATCCCTGATGAACATAGATGCCAAAATCCTGAACAAAATATTAGCAAATCGGATCCAGAAATACATCAAAAAAATTATTCACCATGACCAAGTGGGATTCATTCCAGGAATGCAAGGCTGGTACAATATTCGCAAATCAATAAACGTGATACACCACATAAACAAAATGAAGAATAAAAACCACATGATCATATCAATAGATGCTGAAAAAGCATTCGACAAAATCCAGCATCCATTTCTGATAAAAACGCTCAGCAATGTAGGAATAGAGGGATCATATCTCGACATAATAAAGGGCATATATGAAAGACCTACAGCCAACATCATACTCAATGGACAGAAACTAAAAACATTTCCATTAAGAACAGGAACAAGACAGGGATGTCCACTTTCGCCACTCTTATTTAACATTGTACTGGAAGTCTTAGCCACAGCAATCAGACAGGAAGAAAAAATAAAAGGGATCCAAATTGGAAAGGAGGAAGTGAAACTGTCATTATTTGCAGATGACATGATATTGTACATAGAAAACCCTAAAGACCCCATCAAAAATCTATTAGACTTAATAAATGAATTTGGCAAAGTAGCAGGATACAAAATTAACGTCAAGAAATCGACAACATTCTTGTACATCAATGATGAACTCACAGAAAGAGAAACTGAAAAAACAATCCCATTTACCATCGCTCCAAAAAAATTACGATACCTAGGAATAAACTTAACCAAAGAAGTAAAGGACCTATTTGCAGAAAACTACAGGTCATTGAAAAAAGAGATAGAGGAAGATATAAAAAAGTGGAAGCACATACCCTGTTCATGGATTGGAAGAATTAACATCATTAAAATGTCCATACTACCCAAAGCAATCTATAGATTCAATGCAATCTCCATCAAAATACCAACGACATATTTCATAGAACTAGAACAAATACTTCAAAAGTTCATATGGAACCAAAAAAGACCCCGAATAGCCACAGCAATCTTGAAAAAGAAGAACAAAGTAGGTGGGATCACAATACCAGATATCAGGTTATACTACAAAGCGACTGTAACCAAAACAGCCTGGTACTGGCACAAGAACAGGCATATAGACCAGTGGAACAGAACTGAAAACCCAGAAATGGACCCAAGGCAATACGCTCAATTAATATTTGACAAAGGTGGCAAGAGCATACAGTGGAGTAAAGACAGCCTCTTTAATAAATGGTGTTGGGAAAATTGGACAGCTACATGCAAAAAAATGAAACTAGACCATCAACTTACACCATACACAAAAAGAAACTCAAAATGGATAAAAGACTTAAATGTGACCCGTGAATCCATAAAAACTCTAGAAGAAAATGTAGGCAACAAAATTTCGGACATCATACGGAGCAGAATTTTCACTGATACATCACCTAAGGCAACAGAAATAAAGGAGAAAATGAACACATGGGACTTACATCAAACTAAAAAGCTTCTGCACAGCAAAAGAAACAATCATCAAAATGCAAAAGCAACCCACTGTATGGGAGAACATCATTGCCAATGATGTATCAGATAAGGGGTTAATTTCCAATATATAGAGAGTGCTCATACAACTCCACAAAAGGAAGACAAAGAACCCAATTAAAAAATGGGCAGAGGAGCTGAATAGACACCTCTCCAAAAAGGACATACAAATGGCCAAGAGACATATGAAAAAATGCTCACCATCACTAATCATCAGAGAGATGCAAATTAAAACAACAATGAGATATCACCTCACACCTGTCAGAATGGCTGCCATCAACAAATCATCAAACAACAAGTGTTGGCGAGGGTGTGGAGAAAAGGGGACTCTAATACACTGCTGGTGGGAATGCAGACTGGTGCAGCCGCTATGGAAAACAATATGGTGCTACCTCAAAAAATTAAAAATTGAACTTCCATTTGACCCAGTGATCCCACTGCTGGGAATATACCCTAAGAAGCCTGAAACACCAATCAGGAAGAATATTTGTACCCCCATGTTCATAGCAGCACTATTTACAATAGCTAAGATCTGGAAACAGCCCAAGTGTTCATCAGTAGAAGAATGGATAAAAAAGCTGTGGTACATATACACAATGGAGTACTATGCAGCAGTAAGAAAGAAAGATCTCTTATCCTTTGAGACGACCTGGAGGGACCTGGAAAGTATTATACTAAGTGAAAGAAGCCAAGCAGAAAAAGACAAATACCACATGATCTCACTTATATACAGAATATAATGAACATAACAGTCTGAGGAATACAGTAGACCCCGACACATGGAAGTAGGGCACAGACTGACATCCCTCAGAAGAGGGGATGGGGGTTGAGGAGGTGGGAAGAAATAAACCACAGAACTTATATGCATGTATGCATGACCAATGGACATGGCCACCAATCTGAGGACAGGGTGGGGAGGGAGGGGGAGGGGGAATCTGGGGGGAAAAGGAGAAATATCTGTAACAAAAATTAAATATTTAATTAAAAAAAAAAAGAAGAAATGGAACATGAAAAAAAAATAAAAGACCCTGGAATAATATGTGGGTTTTTAAAATACTGTTCAGCATTCATTGTACTACCACAAAATGTTGATCCTTTCGATGTACTTTACTAAAATTTCAATAATTTTTAAATATTCATATTAACATCTAAATAAATGCAATGTCTGATCGGGAAGCTAAATCATGTATCTTAAAAGGGGAACCAAAGTAGTCAGTTTCACTCTCTGTTTCCATTGAGACTAAGTCCTGTGTACGTGGCTTTAGACCTAGAATGAGCGAGAAATTTAACCTATTTTTAAATGTGGGGGGAGATAAACCACAGAACTTATATGCATGTATGTATAACCAATGGACACAGACAATGCTGGGGACAGGACAGGGTGGGGCGATTGGGAGGAGGGTGTCAATGGGGGAGGGAATATCTGTAACAAAAATAAATTAATAAAAAAAAATTTTTAATTAAAAAAATAATAATAATAAATAAATAAATAAAAATAAAAAAGGGAACAGAGAAATTTTGGAGTTGAAAAGCACAATAACGGAAACCATCATGCATGCCAACAAATGCATAATAGGAATACCAAAAGGAGAGGAGAAAAAGAAAAGGGCAGAAAGAATATTTAAGAAATAATAGCCACAAATTTCCCAAATTTAATGAAAAATGATGTGTATGTCAGAAGCTCAACAAACTCCGGAAAAAAAAATAAAAGTGATCCACACCTAGAAACGTCATAATCAAACCACTGAAAGACAACAACTCTTGCCCAGCTGGTGTGGCTCAGTGGTTGAGTGCTGAC